GGGGTGGTATTATTAACACTAAGTAGGAGCTGTAGATCTTGTGGGTTATATTTTGGGGAAAAATAGTTGGCATGTGTTTTCATGTTCCTGAAGCCTTTAAGTTTCTATTGCTCTTCTAATCTTTTTCTAATGTAGTCACTGACAAATTCACTGGAAGCTGTGGGGAAGCACAAACCCAGAAGAAAAGTTTTTTTGAAGGTGGTGTTTTTCCCCTTTTGGTTATTTTGTGGGGCAATAACATATTAAGTTTCTAAATAATGTTGGTTTACATTAAAAGAGCACATTAAGTAGCATCCTTACCATAGAATTTCCTGGTTTTCTCAGTCTTGTAACAGGTTATGTCATTATGTAACTATTTACATGTACTGTACAACTATAATGTATATAAAGATATATCCATCTCCCGCTTTTATGGATACATGGAGATGTTTCTGGTGCCTTCTGCAGCTTGCATTCTTCAACTGGAATACCATCAGTTTTTAGCCAGTGAAAAGGAATCAATAGGAAGGTAATTCTAATTTTGTTAATAATTTATGTTAACCATACGTCAGTCTGAAAAATCAATGCTTTTGCAAATAGTTGGAGAAATCAGCTCTTCAAGGTTTTTCAAAATCTTTTAAAGTAAGATTCTAGATACTCCATGTTCCTGATTTATTCTGAATTAGTTAATATCTGAGGACTTAAATTGCTCCCTGGAACAAAGACAGGGAAAGCCTTCCTTCTTATTAATATGCAGCAATCCACTGCTGTATAATTGTATATATATATATATACTGTATCATTTTCCAGTAAACTTATAAAACCAGAAAAATTTCATCCCCTGTCCCTACCATGACAATCTTTGCTGTGAAGTTCAGTTCTGTAACTTGAGTAATGTGAATAATTTATAAGCGATTTGTCTACATAAAAAAAAAAAACCAAAAAAAACCCCAAAAAACCACAGCCTTTTTTGAGAAGGCATAATCACACTTTCATTTTTTTTAAAAAATGAAATTTCAGCAATACAGCAGAGTTGCATTTTTTCTAAAGAAATAAAGATTATTTTTTCCTTGGCTGCTGAGACAACCAACTGTAGGTGGGAGAAGGATGAAGGTAGACAGCACAAACACTAGGAACAAGGAACAACATGAAATTTCTGCTAGGATGCATTACAGGTTACTAGCTACCTGTCTGATGCATCAATCAGATACTAGCTACCAAATGTCAAAGTTTTTGCTAATTGTTTTGTCTCTAGAGACAATAAAAAGAATATTTTTCCATGGGGAAATATTTACATTACTTAAAATGCTCATTAATTAGTGATAAAAGAATTTTATAATGCAAAACTCAGTTAGACTGACCATTCTTCAACTAGGTATCCTTTATGCCAACAGGTGAAATGTATTTTTCTCATAAATATTATGTGAGGTGATGATGTGGTAGCCTGGAGATGCTGCCAGGATAAAAGGAGGGGGTAAAAGGAAACAAAGAAAGAGAAAGGGAAAACTTTCAAGGTCTTCCAATCACGAATATTGAACCTGTGTACCCACAACATCCTTACAGTAATATCTTAATTTTTACCTTCTGCCTGCCTTTATAGTACACTTCTCCAACTGTATCATAACATAATGCCCAAGATTTGAATATTCACACAAGACACAAAACCATCCAGCACTTAAAACTGGAGCTGGTCATAATGCAAACATCTTATTTGAGTTGTGATTATGACAAGTGCAGGACTACAACTGTTACTAGGCAAACTGTTCACTGTGAACAAATGATTGGAATCACAGAATATGCTGAGTTGTAATGATCATCCAAGTCCAACTCCTGGCCCTGCACAGGACACCCCAAGAGTCACACCCTGTGCCTTTGTCCAAACACTGCTTGAACTCTGTCAGGCTGATGCTATGACCACTTCCCTGGTGAGCCTGCTACAGTGCCCAACCACCCTCTGGGTGAAGAACCCAATTTAGCTATTTTTTTAGTCAAAAATTGTGTGCTAAGTCATTCCCTAATATATTTGTTATTCAGCATTGTTAACAAAATATAGGGCCAGAATTTCCAGAGGTGTACACTTGGGTTTTGCCTTAGAATACTTCTCACAGCTTCTGTGATGTCTGTGGTGTCACGTAAGTGACAGAATATTGTTTCTGCTGCCTCACTGTGTGACAGAGTCAGACGGATAAGCATTACATACCGTACGTAAGCACAAATAACTCTGTGCACATGCCACTGCAGATAACTGAGGAAGAAAATAGATGTTCCCCACATACTCCTCAGTAAAATCTGTAACAAGGGTACTTTTTCCCACCATTATTTCACAGGCCAGCATAAACACAGGCCCCCAGTGTTCACAGTTAATTATTAATTTCTTGAATATAGGATAATTACACAGGTTAAATAATTTGTTTTTCTTTATAATTATTATGAGTTTATGCCAGCCTTCCTCTAAGTTATTTTAGTGTACTCTGCATGAGCTATTCTGCCTGGAAAGGCATGCATGAGCTATAATTTCCTTTTGACATGAAAAGCCACAAATCTAAACATCATTGCACTATTGCAGAGGAAAAAATGTTTGGCTCTTAACTCAAGATTAGTCTCTGTAGCCATTAAGAAGTGAAAGCTCCATGGAGGTAACAGAACCAAAACCGCTGAGATTACATTCCAGTCACAACAAGCACTTAACTGTTGTAGATAAGGTATCTGGGAAATGATATATAGTAAATAACCGACATTCACTTGTCTGTTTCACTAATATGAGAGAAAATGGTCATTAACACACTTGTAAAGCAGAAACAAATAGATTAATTTATTGAAAAACAATAGTTATTATAAAGGAGTAGCAGAATTCCTGAACTGGAGTCTTATATCACAGTGCAGGAATAAATTAAGACATTAGCAGTACTTATGGCATTCTTGCTAGAGCACAAAACCTGTATTTGCTATGGTTCAGTTACTTCTATAATTAAAAAGAAAACTGTTTTCTGAAGTGAGGAAACTATCTTACATAAATATTTCGTTTAGGTACCCTAGTATCGCATCCCACAGCACTAATGAAATTCCTCATCTCTAGAAACTGGAAACCATCTGTTTGTGACTGTTCACTGAACAAAATAATGCATCTAAAAAAAATCAAAATTAAAGTGTATAGACTATAATGTGCTGAATTCTGAAAAGGAAGGATTTGGGGGTTAATGTTTTTATTTTAAAGACAGATACAGTTTGCTATGCTGAACTGGACCTAAAATCTGTGAGAGCTATTTTCTAGTCAGCTTCTGTGGCAAGCAAGGAACTGATGCAAATGCAAACTGTCTAGTTCTTCCCTCATTTTCTGTCACAAATTTTTGTTCTTGGTTGAATATCTGTTTCATAATCTTTTGTAAAGTTGCTTTTTTAATGTGTTTTCCTATTGTGTACAAAATTCTAAGTTAATCTTGCTTAAAACACAATTACTCTTGTTGGGTTCAAAAATACACAAATCATTGACTGTTTCAAAAATATTTTCTACCTCTTGATTGGATCATTTTGTACCATCACTAAAATCTTAGATGTGACTATTCGGCATTTGTTAGAACTGCTCCCATAATTTTCAGGAATACTACTTCCATCCAGACTTTATTCGTCCTGCTCAGTTCTCCCTCCCAGTTCATGGATTCTGCTGTATTTCTTGTAGTTCAGATTCCATAGGGAAAGTTCCATTACATTTCCCAGAACATAGCATTTTAAAAAACAACTCTATCATCTTTGTCAGTTGCATGGGTATCTCACCAAGCGACCCATGAAAACAAGCTGAACTGTTTCCTTTTTGCATCATCTCAAATTCTTAACTAAGGTGCTTCTGCTCTCCAGACACCAGAGACTAATTTTGTAGTCACTGAAAGACAATATTAGGTATTTTCCATCTTTATTATTGACTTTCTCTCTTTGATCTCAATAGTATGTAATATTAATCAATATTATTTCAGTCATAGTCTGATCACATAGGCTGATTATATCAGTCATAGTCTAAAAGTCATTTCACTCCTTTTAGTGCACAGCTCTTTTTCAATAAACACTGTGCAGCCTGTAAAGTATGTTTATTTGACACTGCATTGTGTGCCTTATGATACAGCAAAATAATCACCTAAAAACTGTATCCATGAAGTAACGATTGAAAAGTGGTGTTAGTGAGTCACTCCGAGCAGTAAGATTTTACTTCATTAAAAGCAAGAGAATCACTCTTACTCCACTTAGATGATCCACCTAAGATCATCTTGTCTTTGAGGTTACTGAGGCCATTTCAATAGCTTTGGAGATTTTATAACTCTAGTTCAGCTGGGCTAAGCTCCTGGTAATCACAGTGTGAAAAGGGCAGCTCAGGGCAGGATGATTTGGTCTGAGTAAAGCGAGTGTTCTCACACCAAGGGATGACTGAAGCATCATTCAGTTCCAACATTTCTAACAGGCCAGCATATCCCTCAGCAAGGAAGGAAAACTGTACTGCAGTGTCACCCACCTAGAAATTAGAGAAATCCATAAATATACAGATATTTATAAACCATATGTAAATAAATTTCCATGCATCATTTCAAGGCAGACATGGTTTCAGTCGAAAAATGCAGCTTTACATTAAAGCAGAACCCCCAGGCTTTTCTGCATATCGTAAATGGGGATTTTAATTGTCCAATTAACATTTTCTTTTTTAGCGATACATCATGATTTCCAGCATTAACAGCAGCACTGCAGCTCAGGTTTCTCTGACAACTCTGCCTAATCTGTGTATTACATGTTTTTTAAAGGCTTGGTTCCATGCTTGCCTCTTAGTTTATATAGTCACCAGCAAAAAAGTGGGTGTAAAGCTCTCCCACAACAGACTGATAACATTTTACACACACATTATCCAGATGTATATCACTACAAAGCAGCAGAGAATAAGGATTTTATGTTTCGGATTTTATGTTTCACAATATTGGTAGATTTTGAGCTTACTGTTACAGGAAACTATTAGAAGGAGCTCATAAACAATTAACAATGGGACACTCATGTTTCTGCTGATTTAGCAGAAGGCAACAATTTGCTGGTGATTCACTGCTTGTCTCCTAACCAAAACACATAATTTGCTAATCCATTTCAGTCCCTGCCTAGTGATCCTAAAGGATAATGTTAACATTCTTCACCTGTCTCAGCATACAGAATAGGCATAATGAGACCATACATATATACACAGATAAGACTATAGGTATACCCATCAACATTAAGTGAGAATGGAGCTCTCAGAGTAAATAAAGCAGCACCAACTGCAACATCCATTCTGAATTAGATTTTAAGAGTGACAGAGCTAAGACTGCTTTTCTCCTGTTGCAGAAATATGCTTTTATTACTGGTTGTAATAAAGAATTGGGTAAATAAAAATTCGGAATAAGAAGTTTAAATAAAGTATGTATAATTATAACTAAATGTAAGTATGGAATAAGGAATTCTCCTCCCGGTCGAGATAGAATTCCTTTTCCAAAAACCACGAATTGCAAAAGAACCCCCCCCAGATAACAGGTTTCAACAGACTCATCAACTCGGAGGAAAAGACAGGACACAGGCCATCACAGAAACAAAAGAACCAGCCTAAAAGTCTACCTCCAGAGAAAGGCAACGCCCGGCCGATTTCGGCCGGAGACCATCAAGCAAGACAAAAGGGACGGTCGTTGCCAGAATCGAACACCACACCTGCCAAACCCATACTACAGAAACTCAATCAAGAAAGACAAAGAAGAGACTACTCCTCTGAGATATCCATCGGCACCAGCCCGGATCTCTCAATCCCGCTGTGATGAAATATGTTAAAATACATACAGACTCACTTTACATTTGAGGAGACTCTGCCCGGATACTTACTGACTCAATGTTCTAGGCCAGGAAATCCATTCACCCGACAATCAGGGACATTTGGTGAATGGAAACTGGTTGGAATTCTAGCCTGGGGACATAAAATCCCTATAAAAACTCAGGCCAGGGGACCCTCAGACGTGGATTTGGGAACACCTATACCTTGCGTATAGACCCTGTCCACCCAGCGCTGCGCTGTCCATTTATTGTGGTTTTTTTTCCTCACTGTTTGTTGCTTTATTAATTTATAATAAATTAATCTTTGTTAATCTTTAATTTGCCGTTGCATTTATAACACTGGTCAAGGAGACAGGCTTCTGTTTTGGTCATGTAGCAGTTCTTTCCTACTGACAGCTGAACTTATTTTAATTAAATCCGAGTAAGACCATAAGGGAGGGAAGTGTTTTAACAATTTTTGTCCAAATCAAGTGATACTAGCTTAAGGATCAGTATTTTCTGCAGTGATGTTGCTACTGCTCACAGTCCCTCCACCCCACCTTGTATGATCAGTAGCTGGTTTTTGGGTTCTTCAGCTGTATTTTGATGTCATTGCCTACAGGGAAAAGAACTGTGACTTTTGCACTTTGGACCTGCTCTCAGAGTTCATAAATATAATTTTTCATAGACAAACATTCAAATGAAACATTAGTCCTGGCCATGGAAAAAGGAGGGCATTTAATGAGTCTTGACATAAAGTTTTGTCATTCAAATAGTCACACTGGTAGTTCCTCTCTCATTATGATTCCTTATTGTCCTTTCAATGTTATTTTTGCAAGATATCACAGTTCTGTTTCAATTGCAGGTTGCCACAGTCCCTGAAACTCATTATCCTTCACTACTGGTGAAAGAAAGAAACAACCTAAGAGCGAAATATATACTGGATTTCAAGGACGTAGTGATATTTCCACTCATTTCTTTTCCTTTGTGGCGCTTTCTTAACCACCCCTTCTGAGCTCTGCCTATTCCAGGTGCAAGTGGAGCTGAAAAATACTGTTTAGTCCACTTGAACAGGCACTAGAAAACTAGCTGTATCAACAGAGCTGAGTTTATTTCTTTCACTGCATATGGCAACATGCACAGCTTTAATTTTTGCCAAACTAAAAGCAAAATCCCTCAAGTTTATGTGGCATACTTATATCCCATGCTCCAAATAGTGGAGAGCAAAATCTTGGATCATGCTTTCTGTTTGCTGCATTTAAAAACATGAATGTTAGAGTAGATTCCTGCATATGGAAAACATCTTGGTCTCTGATTAGGGCTGAGAGAAAATTACTTTAAGCACATTTGACTAAGATTGTGCAACGTTTTTTGGTATTGAATAAAATTTATCTTGCCAGTCAGAGGTACAAAGTAAGTTTTATGAAGAATCCAGGGTAAGATACTAACCAGCCAGATGTCCAAGTGGTTTGGTCATTCCCCAAACACCCCATGTGTTTTTTTTCTGTCAAATGATCAGGGAAGTATATTGATAGAAAAAGAGGTACAAAAGTCTTTATTTAAATATGACAGTCTGTAACATCTGGACTAAGAGTTCCAAACTATCCACTTAATTTTACAGTGAAAATTGAAATGTTCTTCTTCTTAACTAGGGAAAAAAACCCATAATAAAACACATTAAGCACAACAGTGAAGGATTTTCTATTGCCTTTCCCCATAGTCTTTAGGTTTTTATAAGGGAAATTTTTACTTTGTGTGAAAGAGAGCACCAAAGTTACAGTTAGTTGAAATCAGGACTACTAAATTAGTACTACCTTGTAGCAAACCAGACCCACACAGCAAAGGGGAGAAAAGCATGGGAATTAGAAGGGAAAAATAACTTCTATTTCAACTCACTTGCACTTGGAAGAAGACAGACCCAGCACATGGTCTTATCAGCCACTCCAAAGCCTGGCAAACTCCAAGCAGCATCTGATGACTACAATGCTGCTTTTAGCTGCCCTTTTAGTCATGGGTTCACAGCAGGGAAACGAGACATGCCACAGCCTTAATCAGCTAAGTCACACCTCCTAGGAAAACACCCACACACAAAGGTCACAAAAAGACCTCTAAGAGGAGGGTAGAAAAGAAAATGAGATAGGAGGTGATGGTGAAACCCAACTGCTGTACATTATGTAGGTTCCATTTGGTGTCATGGATTTAGCTTAACTCAGGGCAACGATAACACCCTTTAGTCTCTCCTCAGTGGAGGTGGGCAGAAGATCTGTCAGAATTAGATGACAACTGTCCATCAGCCTCATCTGTCCCTTCATTTCAATAGTTGCAGGCTCAGACAACCAATGGCATGGGGAAAGATGGTGGATTTGCTACAATGTTTAATTATTTTAGAAAATTCAGTCACTGATGTATTTTGGTTTGTTTCTACACAATGGAATATTTTACATATTTTGCTCCCTATTATTGAAAAGAAAAGACTTAATCAGACATGGCAAAAGGAAGCAGATCATTGGAATTGTACTACAGGAAACATTTCAGCACAAGCTGAGATAATAATGTCGTTTCCTTAAACCCTGCAACACTCAGTAACTGCATTTTTCAAAGTACAAAAAAGCCTATTTTTTCTCAGTTTTCTTAGATTATCAGGTTTGCCCTTGAGCATACAAAAGTCACTAGTTTAAAGTCCAATTGGATTTTCCTTTGATTTGTTCTTGATCCCACACAATCTTGACATAATAAAGATTAGATCTAGAGAAAATAAAGATTTTCAGCCCTCCCAGTATTATTGCCAGTTGCAGTTTCCTTAGCACTTTGCTGAGATTTGTTTGCATCTATCAGCTTTCTTCAGGATATTACTTCATGTCACAAAAACCGTACTGCAAATTTTAAAAATTAGCCATCGATCTGAAATTATCTTTATTAATTTTTTGCTATTAGTTTTTCTTAGTATGCTAAAAAAAATCCTTTTAAGCAGAGATAATTTAGGATGTTATTACTAAGGGCTCTGTAGAATGCATATTAGAATTTTGTTTGCATACACAGGGCCTGTTCCTACAACTCTTGTTCTTCTTGGTGACTTTGTTATGATAAAACTGCAAAGATGACTTTTTTAATGTAACTAATCAAAAGATATGTGAACAAGGTTTTGACTCATATGCAACTGAAAGTATACCAGGATCAATTCATGTGCAGAAACAATAGCCCAGCAACTGAACATATGTCAAGGATAGACAAGTCATTTGACTTTAAAAAACTATAGAAATACATGAGTCCCATCTTTTTGATCAGAATATAAATCACACAAACTACATACTCCTGAAAAAGCCCTCTCTCACTGCATTTCGTGGAATACATCCAATGCAGATTTCTCAGGGAGCCTGTGCTCCCATCTGTGGTGACATTAGCAGCAAAAAAATCTCTTCATGTGCTTGCTACCCATTTTGTAAAGTGAAACAGAAGTCACTCCACGATGAAAGGCAGTACGACAGCCACAAGCAGGTATGGAGCAGCAGGTTACATTGGTGGGATGAAGGGCTGTGCTCTGTGGGAAAATGAAGCAAGGGGGCTTGCTCTGGGCTGCTTAGAACTTCACTGAGCAGGAGCACCACACCTGCCAGGTCTGTGTCTCCTGGTGAGCTCAGTGTGGCTGCAGGAAGTTCCTGCAGGTGCTTTCACAGAAATCCTTTCCACAGAGAAATCTACAGTGACAAGGAAAGCAGTTCTAGCCCTGGATATTCAGTACTGGGATTTGTTTTCACATGCCATCCCAAACATATGGTTCCTGGACAGCAAAATTTTGTTACAGGTAATTTAATTGCACATTCAGTGTAAGTTGGAAGTACATAAATACACAGGACTGGTACAGAACCATTGCCACTGAAGACAACCAATACCATAAGGGAAACATCTGGTACAGGAGCATCCATGAGAACAATGTTGCATAAACACACTTAATCCCATTATAACAAACAAGGCTTTCATCACAAGATGAGAATTTCAAATTCTGCACTGTCATGGGAGGAAGACCAAGAGACCCAAGAGGATATCAGCAATGCATTACTGATCAAATATCAACTTATAAAACAGTTTATATAGGTGAAGTAATTATATAATGCTTAACGATCAGGCCAGAAGGAAGTTCCTTGCCCCAACAAACTCTAAGGATTGTTCTTAGTGTGTGCATCATAGGAAGCAAGAGTAGAGCCTGATGCTTAGAGTAGTTTTTGAAGTAAAAGATATTTGACAGCGGGAAAGAGTGAAACCATAACTCATTTGACCATGGAGCTGTACAACATGTGCCAGAGGAGGAGCAGTAGGGCCAGAGAGACATCAGAACAATGGGAGAGATAAAAGCACATAAGAGAAGGTTTGATAATTTCAAAGGGTGAGGAAATCACAGAAGCTTAGATCTGAACACATATTTTGCTTGCTGGATGAGTTTCATTGTACAGATGGTTACTATTTCATCTCAAAGTAAAGGCCATTACACTGTATGTGCTGGCTTCTGCTCAACAAACACATTCTTGTTTCTTTCCTACCCCCATGAATTTCCCATTTTTCTTTAATCTGAATTTTAAAGACACTGGAGCTTAGACAGTCCCAGCCACAGACAGAAAAGCTGGAGCTGAAATGTAGCTCCAAGCAGTTCTCTGGTCCTCTTCTAACCAGGGAGAGCCCTGGCTAAGTACAGAGTTATAAAATTTCCTCTAGGTGACCAGAAGGCTTGTATATTTGTGTGCCTCCTGACTGATAATCTTCTCCAGACACTCATACATACAGGTATTTAGGGATGGCAGTAGACATAAAACTGAAGAGCTGAAATCTAGAAGTCTGCTACGTAACTGGCAGTGTTTCCTTCTCTCTTCTGGTCTTTTCTTTACCTGTCAGTGTTACATAAAACAACCTTACAGGCTTGATTCCCTTTAGTTGTCAGCTGTAGTGGATATTTTTAGTACAGAACTTTCAACACTATCTTGAAACAGTGTTAAGGTTGAAACTGGCTAAGGACAGCCAGTGACATGGACAAGTGTAACACAATGCCATTTTTCTAAACAATAGACATACTGAAACAGTTAATCTCTCATGGTTTAGCTATGTTTTCAAACTAAAACTGCCAAGAGGAAAGGAATGCAGTAAACATCTTTGAGTATACAAATACTGTAGAGATGATGGCAGATGACAAGTTTATTGAAAGATTTTAAGAAATGCAGACGTGGAAAATTATCATTTCCTAAATTATCTCCTTATCTGTGACTACTTCCGTGTCTCAAGTAGCATTCACCTTCTCATATGCACATGCAATTTGCTAACTTTTGCTAAGAGAGAAGTTATTTCATGTCGAGCCTGTAACAGAAAGACACAGAAGAGAATCACAATAAATACACTACTGCTATTTAGACCTCTGGCAAGCTTTACAAAGATGCTGGAAGCCAGATAGGTGCATCCTGTGTAACAGTGATGCCTGCACAAACATTTGAATTTCTGATAAAATTTAAGCAATGTGAAAAAACCCCCCTCAGTTCTACACTGGCCTTCACAGTCACCTCAGCCAAAGTAGCACCCTGAGAACAAGCTGCAGGAGATAAAGAGATCCTTTCTTTTTAAGAACTCCCCACAATTAGGTGACTGACAACAGTTTTTCTTTGTAGCCTGAGAATGGAAGAAGACTGACAGAGAAAATCTTAATTTCTAAGAAGATACACTCTTTTCTTTTGCTTTAATGGAAGAAAATTTAGTCCTGTTAGAAGAAAACTTTTCAATACAAAGCAGACTTACTTCCTTCAGTAATATTATTCAGTATTTAAATAACTAGTTTAACAAGAACACAAAGACCTAATTTCAGAACTGGGTATCAGGTGGATATGCAATTAACAGCCCAAAAGGAATTACAGTCTGAGCCTATTTAAATGACTGTTGTGATTAAGATGTTTGACTGTCCTGTTTCTTTCCTATTTGGA